TGAGGTCGACCCAAGATACCGGGCGATCTTTTCTTAGTCTAAAACCCAAATGTTTTTTTTTTTTTATTCCGTGGTATACTTTGTTTCAGCTGAAATCAGGACGCAGCCGATGCTAGAAGCGCGAGCTCCGGGCTTTCAGCTTCCCTGCCAAGCACGCGCGCTCGCGCAGTGCAAGCGCTGTTCAAGGCTATATGCTCGCGCTTGTATCATCGGTTGCGTCTGGACTTAGCTAAAATGAAGTATATTAGGGTTTAAAACGATATATTTTATTCAACCTAACTTTGCACCAAGATTTGCTTCACCAAAAATCACGGTCACAAATTTTCTGAAGGTCAAGACATTTATATATATCTTAATTTATGCATTAATTTCTAGTCAGGAAACTCTAGGGCTGGTCGTGTTCGACACTGGAATACCCAGCGATAAACACAATGGTTATTTGCCTAACTATATCAGAATCTAACTTAAAAAAAAGAGCATTGTAAGTACCATGCACTTAAAAAGTATTCTGGCACGGGCACACACATTCTGACTGTTGTATTTAGAAAACGTTTCGAGTTACCTTATTTTACATCTCTACCATGACGCACGCTACCCACTTGCTAATTTAGGTGGTTTAATTATATAAATAAATAGCTGATTAACTGCATCAGTCATAAAAAAGAAATGTTTGTGAGGATGCTTCTTCGCACCTGTAACCTAATATGAGCTAGGTGTCCCACTTTTTTCCTACATGTTAGTCGCATCATTTACACACACAAAAACGTGTTGCCTAAACATTTCCAATAATTGCGAAAAATATTATACAACTACCAAATGTGCAGTTCACAATACATGGTGTATTGATGTGTTTTCGAGAACTTGCAGGGCCGACTCTTTTTCATCAGGTGTCCATACGGTTAGGAAGACGACATCATTGCGGAGGAGCGCTGATATCGCCTCAGTGGGTAATCACGGCCGCACACTGCCTCAGAACGTGAGTAATATAGAAAGTCCATATTACAAAGGCATATACATTACCCGATTCCTTGTCAGCCTGATAAACGCGTTGTTCATAAGGCGGATGTGCAACATGACAATTCCGCTTAATATGTTATCACTGTGATTTCTGTGCGTCCTGTCACGATTGTACCATATTTCTTATTGCATGAATGACAACATTTCACTCGCGAGATTTTAGCCTTTAGGACAACTTAAACAACCAATTATTTATTGAGTTCTTACCTCGAATAGCGCATTTTCACACTGCATGTTGAAAATTTAATATTTTGTGTGCATTCGCATTTATATTCTAAGAAGCAATCAAAAACTAAAACGCGAATAGCAATCGATAGCCCTTATTATTATCATAATTTTTGAACTATATCTTGAAATAAAATTGTCCCTTCGCGGTAGACTTCCTCTGTACCTGTCGCTGGACATTTTTTTATTATAAATCAGGCAGCCATATTACCGCGCACAAATATGTTTGGCGCTAATCAGGGCTTAGGCGTCCAGTTGGTACAAATCCAACCAAGTTGCGCGAAACCGTTCAGCGGCATGTTTTCTTGAAGTTTGTGTAGAAAAAACAGCATTTAAACATGGAATTTTTATATTGAAAATAAACATAAAATGATCAGCAATGTTGTGCCGAATTAACGTACTAGTAGTCACTAATATCTATGCCAGAATAGAGGGAGCTATCTTATTTAGCTTTAATTTCTCAATTGGAAGCAACGCATTCTCAGAGTTTCTCATTTATTCATGCTGTCCAATGTAATGTGCAGTTACTTTCCAGTAATCCGTTTTCCCAAAGTTGAGGTATAACGGTACGTATTTTTTCCTCTTAATTTCTCAGTATAACCATGTGGTCAACATTTTAGGAGCTATATCTATAAATAATTTCCAAGGTACCATTTGTTGTAAGCTGATTTTCGGCGTTCAAGTCCAAACACCACCAAAAGTATGAAAAGAAGAATAGAAATTGGAAGAGACTGATGAAAGATAATATCGAGGTACTTTATAATGTTAAAACACAAAAAATGTATTTAACTTTGCCACAACCAGCACGAATTATATGCAGTGTAAAAATCGTACAAAGGTTGCTGAATTAAAATATATACTTATTACTTGATTGGTACCGTTAAAACGACGAACATACAAATATTATGTTGAAGAGCATTTCAATCATGTTAATTTTTCTACTCAAGTGCGTTAACTATAATTTTCGTCCATGCAGTAGACAACCTGGAGATTATGCTGTCTTCGCTGGAGTTCATCAGCTGAGCCTTGACAACGCACAGAAACAAGTGGGGAAGGTAAGACAGCAAAAATGTTAGCTGATTATGCTGTTTGTCCAAAGTTCGACGGTAAGAAGTTCTAGGCCTTGCCCGAACGTTACAATGGCATCTTGCTCAAAGCGGCCTTGTTCAAATGTTATCATTGGGAATTATGTCTTATTGAAGATGTTTGACTGTAGGACAATAAGAGAGATTGAGGGCACTTGTGCTGCGCTAATAAAACCTGCCCAGCCTCAGGAGTTCCAGACTTTAGATAAAAAAAAAAAGCTCACTCTATATCAACGTAACTTTATCATGACGTTTGTTTCATAACAAGAAACTACTAATTATAAAGTGCACACGACTACCAATAACATATTCGCCAAACCTGTCCTGAAAGTCTTTTCAAGCCAAGGTTACACCTGTATTATTGTTTCGAAACCCCCACTGTGAGAGTTATTGCTATCGTTTCCAGAAATTGATTTTGTCACCTCGAAGCTTCGTAGCGGTCGATAGGTGAAAACGCACTGAGCGGCTACCTCACTGCAGCTCTGCCAGCTCACGGGGCTTTCAAAGCGCTGAGACTTCGTCAGGGGGCCGACGTGGACGTACCGCTGATGAACTGTAAGAGCCACAGCACCCGCATTGGCAAGAAGATGTCCAACATAGAGCGAAAGTCTCGTTGACGTAACGAGCACAAATTAAAATTATATAATTATAGTATGCCGATTGAATATGACAACATGACTTACGTTGGTCATTTGGAGAATAGTTAAAAAAATTAATCTCCAATGAATGCTCTCAGTTTCTACTACACTCCGTTTCACGATAACTTGGCGAACTGTGAAGGCTGCGGCCCTCGCGACCAAATAAGAGCGTCGGAGCGAGGCACGTGACACCACGTCACGGGAGTGTTCCTGTCGCTGCGCCAATTGCGGTGCCCGAAGGGGCGTATTGTCGTCTGCTGCTCAAGGGTCGTCTGCTGCGAAACCAACCAACTTCGGATGAGCGCCCACCGCCGCAACATTGCCGTCCGCTTGAGTAGCGAGCTCTTCGAGAACAATTCGAGAGACAACCAAAACTCTCAATTTACCCGCGAATCTGTGGCTGGTGCTAATGGCAGGGCGATATTTTAAGCGGAAGCGTTTGATTACACGGCTGCGATAGTTCAAACATCGTTCAAAAGCTACGTTTTTTCACGGGGAAGTGTTGATCTATATTAAGTTTCATTGAAAAGTATAATGTATTTGTCTTTCTTCCGTGTCATATAGTGTGGCGGTCAGAAGAGAATGACCTCAGGACTACTGAAGGAAAAAGAAGCCTAGAACTACTTTTTGTCGCTGTCGGCGCTGTTGCTGTAGAGGGCTTCCATGGCCTTGACCAAACTTTTGCTGGTTCGCTGAAAAAATATAATGGATTAGGATTACAAATTACCGAGCCCCAAATCTAATGATTTACCGTATCAAATTACTTTCTCTGAAAAGTAACCGATTACTTTACTCGTTACGTCACAAATTACTTTCACGTGACTTTTTCGGGTACACTTATCGATAAAACAATTGAAACAATTTTGATGTTTTCAAAAATGTCCTGCAAGACTGCGTTCCGTTTCTCATAGGCAGGAGAAGAAGAAAAACACAATGGAAAGAGATGGAAAGAGGCAGAGCCTACTTGGCGTTGTCATTTTTCTCTTTATTTTTCGCATATTTGTATATAAGAACAACAAAGATCATTTTAATAAAATTATTGATTGAAATGATGCATGCTCGTCTAGCGGTTCTAGTGACCGCTCACATAAAAAAAAAAAAAAAAAATCTTGCTCTTTTTTTCGGTTATTCTCCTCTTCACGAAGTTTTCTATTTTGTTTAACTTTTTAAGGGACCCTAAGCTGAATTTTCGGCTGGGATAAATTGGGATTTTACTATTCACATTTTGTTTATTGCGCCACAATAAAACTAGTACACGAGCTTAGAAAGCCTAAAGCCTCCTTTTTGGTACGAAATTTTGAAAACATAGCGGACTATTTCGCACCTCTTTTTTTTCGAAAGCTCTCCCCCTTTTTACTGTGATGCATCCGCGGTGCCCGCGAACGTCAGCCAAACCCAGCTCACGCATTGGACGCGAGCACTGACTAACTCGGACGAATGCTCTCGTCAACAAGCAGTCCGTCGACGAATATTTGAATTCGCGTTCGTAACCAATGAGTGCCGTGACGGTACTTATCATCTCTTGAGAATGAGAAGTTCCATGGTGTGCTTAAAAAGCACGGTGTAAGTTTAGAGTCATCGCATCCTAGGCCAAGCACATCACGACCGCGTGATTTCTCATTTCGCTTTTGAGTTGAGGGTTACAGCTAAAGAAGAAGTTAAAAAATCATTGCAAGGCTTCTTTAAAAACGCCATGAGATCATTTTTCAACCTCTTTGACCTTAGCTATTAATCTTCAACTCAAAAGCGAAATGAAAAATCACGTGTTTGTGATGTGCTTTGTCAGCGGATCAGATGACTCCGAGCTACTACTGTGCTTTTTAAGCGCACTATGTAACTTGTCACTCGCAAGTGATGACAAGTTTCGTCATAGTACTAATTGGCCACGAACGCGAATTCAAATATTGGTCTAGGGATTGATTTTTGACGAGCGCATAAGTCTGAGTTACACAGTGCTCGCGTCCAATGCGTGAGCTGGGTTTGGCTGACGTTCGTGGGCACCGTGGATGCACCACAGTAAAAAGGCGAAGAACTTTCGAAGGAGAGCCGGTAAGAATAATCATCCGTATTTTCAAATTTTTTTACCGAAAAGCAGGCTTCTGGTTTTCTGTTTTCGTGTACCAGTTTTATCTTTTGGCCCACTAAACGATGGGTAATCGTAAAATTCCCATCTAACGTGATTTTTCGCATCGCAAAATTAATTTCATGGTCCCTTTAATTGCCCTCTCATGTTCCTCCAGTTTCTGTATCATGTTTACATTTTTAGGAAGCAACGGGTAATTAAAGTAATCCGTTACCAATATTTAGTAACAAAATTACATTACAAATTACTTCCGCGAAAAAGTAACTTGACAATTACGAAATATTTGAAAAAGTAGCATTTACAAGAAATCCGTTGCTTGTGACGATTATCTCCCACCTCTGATCTCGACCATGGAGTGTTGACACGTGCCTTGCTCCGACGCTCTTATTGGGTTATCGTGAAACGGAGTATAAAACTAAAAGATCTAGTTTTGCTTTAAGCGCTAGAATGCTGGTACTGTTGCAAAATAATAAAACGGCTGACTTGTATTATACGCCAGCATCAGATCTCACATCATACCATTAATGAGGAAAGTAAATGAGGAAATAGAACGAATTCTGATTGGGGTTCTGTTGATATTTATACAACGTGTAGTTGGTCAGTCCTTTCAAAGTTGCGACGAGTCACTCGCTGCAGATGAGATATTTAGCCAGTGCGCACCACGTAGTTGTGATACACGACCGCACGCCGCTACGATGCTCATCCAGGGGCCCTAAGCTGGACACTTGGCGAAAAGGTCGGCGAGATATCTGGCGGCCGTAATTAGCCGACGCCGCACTTGACCTTGGCGCCGGCCAATCATAGCTGCCACGTTTCTCGCCGTCTTTCTCGCCAAGTGTCCCAGATCGAAACGGGCAGGGGTGGGGATTGAACCCAGGACCCATGGGGTCTGCAACGCTTTCGCTCCACGTGCTGCGTGGCTGGTGTGCGCTAGCCCACTCGGCCACCGATAAGAATGCTTTATTCGGTTTCTAAAACCCGGGCGACAGTGAAAAGGCTATTGCCCATGCCATAAAGGCCCACTGTACCCGCTACACAGACGAAGTCTGACGAATGTAACTCCCCGTATACTGAATCCTCAACTGCTGGACACGAAATTAACAATTGCGATTTGTACCGATAAGTGGTATCAAATCCATAATGTCGGATAAAACATAAAAAGTCGCGTAGCTCTCAAAGGTAAAGCAACTACAAAGTAATTGCAGTCTCTTTTTAATGCAATGTATAAGCTTAATAATCACCTTTTTAAAAACAACTAGTTTCTGTAATTAACTATTCTTAGATCAAATCTCTTTTAATCGTAATTAAATTTTGGAAGTAATCATCAACCCAGTTATGTTTAAGAAGCGATCTACTTCGGCGTTTTATGGACAGGTCGTTTCTCTTGGCACTGACAATGCATTCCTTCTGCTCTAATCGCAAGAACAAACGAAGAGCTCGAGCCCCGTGCCACTTCAACATCGACACTTGAGTGGACTTATCTCCCTTGTCATCTTAAACGGTTATTTTATGTAGAGGCGGGCTAAGAGAAATCAAAGCATGGCCGACACGAGCTCTTCTTGCGGGCGATAACGGACTTCTCAATCCCTTTGCAAGAGAGTTGTGCAGAAGACGACTGTTGGACACGGTTGCGTTGCAAAGGTGCGCATCATCGCGAGTGTGATGCTTCGCTTATCTGAAATCACAAGGCTTGAGATCGGCGTCTTTCGTAAGGCCGACCGTTTGATGGTGCGCGGTGGCCGCTCGCTGGTTTTTGCTTCCTCCGCCGACTCTTATTGGCTGGTTGAAGGCAGAACAAGAGACGGAAAAAAATTATGTCTATGTTGTACTGCTATGATCCTGCTTCTTACCAAAGAGGCACTTCGACGACGGTCATATGAGAAATGTTATTTTGCATGGTATTGAATTTGGTTTCAGGTGGCCGGTCGTCTTGGTATGCTTGAGTGTAAAATAAAAGTTTATACTAAAACACCCGTAGAAATAAGAAAAAAATATTGTAATGAAGCGAAAAGTTTCTCGCTGAAAGGAATTTATTGAAATCAGAACTATATGTTTAGCTAAAACTTTTGAAAAAAATTTTACTGAAAAATACACCAATCCGAGAAAACACTTTTCAAAGAAAATTGCTGACCTCTGGTGATTTCAACTGCCCTCCTGCCGACCCCACCAATGGCGCATACCCCGCGCACAGCCAAACTCTCTGATCAAAGGTCCGCACAAACTGAGGGGGAGCAAGCGCGTCCAGGTCGGTAAAAGTTTCCAAGTTCAGGAGCGAGCTCCACAGCCGAAGCGTAGGGGACGTGCCGGTTGGTATCTAAAACCATGGCGTTGACAAGGTCTGGGTTCCCGGCTGCCAAACTGTTCCTCTGCGGCCATTGCAGGGCTCCTTATGTTGGCTTCAGCGGCATTCAGTACCCGCCCAACGAGTACGGAACACGCGAGCTTCGTTTTATCTCGTGGAAGTGCTCTCCTAGCGAGAGCCGAAAAACTGCTCTATGACCTAGCCATCAATGGAGCAGCTAGCCGAGAAGGGGAGGCCGCACACTATAGCACGAAATCGCGGCTGGACCTGGGGCAACGCAGCAATTCCGCCTGCTGGGCGAGCCACGCTTTTCACCACACCCTCACGCTCTGGTGCATACGGCGCTGCCGAAAATGTGTTTTCCGTGCCCCAGACGCGATTTCGACCTTGAGCGTGCGGCCTCTCCTTTTCGGGCTGCTCTATTGAGCGCTACCCCATAGAGCCATTTTTCGGCTACCTCCAGGATAACGCCCCCATGAGATAACACACATCTTGCGTATTTCGCAAAGATTGTTGAGCAGTGCACATTCCAAAAGACCAACCTAAATATGGAGAGCATGCAAGCACGCCGGGAATGAAACACCACTAATAATTCCCTGTTCCTTTCAGCCATTGCCCCCAGCAGGGGCTACTCTTCTAAAACACGCATGCCGAGTGCTACCACAACACTCCGCTTTTCGCTTGAAGAGACAAACTACTTAAACTAAATGGAAACCGTAGCCCGCACAACGAAGACACACCCCGGGCTACTCAATACCAGAACGGGGATCCACGGAAAAACCATTTCGTGGGGTACCCTTTGACTGACCTGCTGTGGCGGCCAACAACAACCGAAAGACACTCGCGTACCTATAATAAAGCGTAAAATTAAGTACCAAAGTCGTGAAAGTTCGCCGTCATGACAACATGGTGCCCAATAGTGAGATGTTATATAAGAGATATTTATTCGATCTTGTACAGATCAGGATCCGTATTAGAGGAAGACTCTTCATTTTGAAATCAGAACATTTTAGCAAAGGAAGGTCGTGTTATAAATTATCAATGACGACCCGTGTTAGCTGGTTCACGAATATTCGTTAGAGCTGACCGGCTGTGTTGCAAACACTTATCATTGCTTGCAACCAAAGACTAGAACTTCAAGCAGAAAGCGCTAAAAAAACTTTCAAAGTGCGTACATTTTGTAACTTTGTTACGTGTCACTGCTTCACCATAGGCTCGGCATAATTCTCAAAATGTTTCGAGCCACCATTTTTTATAGATAGTGCGTACATTTGATACCACAAATCCTGCAGTACCTCGAGTCTAGTTGTACTAATATCATAAGTGAATTATGGCTACCTGATGGACGGCGCCGGTGTAACGCTGTGTTCTTTAGTAATAAGCGATGACAAGCGATTGCAACGCACTCGACCACACTAAATACACAAATGCGGTGAAGCAGCCTTTAAATTGCCGAGGATTCTCTTTTTATTTTGTCTTTTTAACAAACCTCCGCAGGGGCTGGAAAAGTTCGTGCACTCGGGCTTCGGGTTCTGGACGTTCAGGAACGACATCGCCCTCCTGAAATTGGAGAAGCCGCTGGACATCGCGAGCTCCGAAGGGTACATCGGGACCATATGCCTCCCGCCCAAGGGCCACAAGGTTGAGGGGGACGTCATCGTCTCCGGATGGGGAACCACCCGAGAAGGTACGCAATCACAGGAATTTAAATCATTATGGCAACGCGTCTCGAACTAGTGGTTACATCGTCCAAAAAAGGTGGCCCTCGATTTCCGCCTGATGAGGTCATACAAGTGACATGTTACCACCGGTCGCGATCCTGGTCACGCGACAGCAGCGATGGTGGACGTGAGAGACGCCTGTTCTTCCCCAGGAAGTTCTCCAGCTTGGCAGTTGACAGAAACTTCATGTTCGCTCGTACCTTTTTCACGGGTCTTTAAACACAAACCGCCAGGGCCGCGGCATCCGACAGCATAAAGGCTCGTTCACACTGTCACGTTCGATTGCGTTTGACTTCGTTAAGACCGCTTGTGTCCAGCTGTTGCTATGGTGGCCCTTACGACGAGCCACTGAAGGAGGCGCTGCGGTGCACGACGCTAGCAGCGCGACGCAGTCGACGCAATTGTGTGAACCGGCCTTAACACTCCGGCCTCTCCAACGTAATGTTTGCCTCTTCGGGACGGCTTTTGACGCATGGGTGGGGTAGGATGCTAAACAGGACGCGTTCCAGGCACCATCAAGCCATGTGGTGACATCGATCTAACTGACCTCTGCGAACCAAGCCGGAAAATACGGCGCGTAAAGATAGCGAGTTGAAAATGTAATCGAAACTGCAATTTTGAAGTCAATTATAGCTCTAAAAAAAAGAAACCAGAAAAAAAAACATTGCTTAATATTACTGAAAGTAAGAGTAACAGGTTTTAACGCCGGATCCAGGTGGAGACGAGCAAGTCGAGCGGAGAGTCAGGTTTGGTGCTTTTTTTTTTTTCTTTGAGAAATGGTGCCAGTTCATTGAAAAAGAAAGTCGTCGGCACAGGCCTACGACAGATGTGCGCTTCATAGAGTTATTGTAATATACGATAGAGGTTCAGCTGGCGCTAGTGCGCTATTACAAATTGAAGCACACAGCCACCGGTTAAAAATTGACTTCCGGCAAGGCATTTCTACGGGGAAAAGCGCTGAAAGCACTGTGTGTGTCTGTGTTCGTCCTTTACGTCTTTTATTCTTTCTGTGTATTCCGGGGAAAAGCAGCTGCATTTCTTTTTTCTCCGCTTGATTATATGAGCAAATATTACAAGTAATTATAACGTAGTAAGTATTCTGGAACGTTTCTCAATCACATAAATGAAGATATTGGTGAGCTAGAGTTTTTTTTTTTTTTTTTGTCAAATTCACGTCAATAAACACAGTGCTAAAACAGCTTCTTACATGAGTTTATGCGCAGTGTTGGGCCCTATATATATATATATATATATATATATATATATATATATATATATATATATATATATAATCGGAGAACATGGCGTCGACGCTTTTCTGCATGGGGGATCAACGTACCAAGCGAAAGAAGAACACATGGAAAACAAAGAGAGACAGCAACATTAGATCAGTAACTCCTTGTGCATGTAGACGATCAAAATAAAGCGAGGGAAAATGTAATATAGTCCGATTTGAAATAAATAACTTTTGCTTTATTCTCTCGGCTCGTGGTTATGCGCGAAAATGCTTGTTCTGCGTCTAAAACATCAACCGCACGCCTGTAATCTTTGAAAATGTAAAAAAGCCAGAAAAGAGGTCCCCGATTAAAGCTGCCTGGCAAAGGAAATAATAATACGAATTTTTATAGCCCACGTACGTTATTCTTTACATTTTGAATGGGTTTATGGGCTCGTAAAATGTACGATGGTTTCATTTTCATATATCTGACAGGACTGGCATATTAGAATTATATAAGCTGCACCGGGGAGCTGCCGAACTTTGAACACTCTCTATATTTCTTTCGAATGTTGCTTTACTTAGATTCATCACTCGCTTTTGCACACCTTCAGCAGAACACAGTTTGGGGCCTGAAATATAGCAGATTTTATCATCGTTCACTGACGAAGAAAATGATGTAAGTGAAGCAATTACACATTTACAATGTTAATAAAGGTACATACTATTCGGTACGACGCAAATAACAAACGTGAGTCATATTATTTTCCGGCGAAGAGACAAAACGCACGCTCGTTTTCAAATGGGAATGCACAGGAGTACCGCAAAACTAGCCTGGTTGCTGTCTGTTTCAATTTTCATCCCGCAGTTCGCACAGACACGAGCTCCGGTTGAACCTCTAGCGCACATTATAACTCTATGGTGCGTGCACAATCTTTTTTTTTTTTTTTTTTAATTACCTGCATGAAACCCACTGTGCTTGTTTAATTTTAGACGAATACAAGGCTACACGAAAATTAGATACAATCATTTACCATTGTCGTCAAACAATTTTTTATTCACAATATATAGTATTTTATTTAACTTTCAAAATAAGAAAAACAATTTAAATTTCGGTTTTGGTTCAGGTATTTCGGATTGTTTTTTTCTGTAAAATTGTTTTGGTCTAAGCCTGTTAAAGGACTGTATTGTTCATGGGATAATCAAAACTGCCACATACAAATAAAAAAAAATCGGACGCCCCCCGCCTTCCCCTCTTTTCCCCCTTCCATCGGACAAGCTTGGTCGAAATCAAATAAAACCACTCCCACACATTTTTGCATCCATACGACGACGAACTTGAATGGACGATATACGTCCTCTCGCAAGAAGCAAAGAAACTCTTTTTTCGACGGGTGTGCCATCTAGTGGCTGCTGTGCCAACTATTTCAGACCACCGTTGTTTGGGCACGTACTCTAAGCATGCATTGAACAGTACGGTTGCGTCAGCTTTCGGCGAGGACTTGGATCCAGACATACGCTTTGGGCCCCAGAAGTGTTACTTGATACACTTTTGCGAAGGTTCTTTTTTTGTAAGTAAAAACAGGTGCCGTTTTTCAATCCATAAATGAAACGGGTTCCATGCAGGTGGCATGGGATCGGACATTCTGAAGGCAGTTTCGGTACCGGCCCTGGGGGACGGCATGTGCTACTACCGCTACTTCTCCTTCTGGTCGCTCTTCATCGGCGGAAACATTCACTACGACAGCATGTTCTGCGCCGGGGAGAGGAGAGGGGGAAAAGACTCGTGCCAGGTACGGCCCTTACTCCCCTCGGAGAATGTACAGCAGCGATATTGCGTTTGAAAGGGATAGCTCGATGTCGCGGTGCCTGAAGAAAACTAGGAAAAAAGAATATCATGATCTAAACCCTTAGACATGGAGAAATAAAATAAGAGAAAAGGCGGTACAAAACCGTGGTTTTTATTCTCCTTATCTCGGGTTTCAGATGATGTTTCCTAACCAGCTCTCTTGCACACTTTGGCTCCCGAAAAAAATACTCATTCTTAAAAGAATCGACAAAAGATTTTTTCCAACAAGCTGTCTTGCTTTTTTTTTTTTTAATACGGGCAGAGGGGGTAAATGAGTTTTATGAGAAAAGTAAATAAATTTATTTATTTTATTTAGATCAAATTTATTTTGGTTAAATTATATTACTTTGAATTAAGACGCTGTATTCGATTATAATGCAATTAAATGCAAAAGTGCAAGCTAGCTGGATAAGAATGACGAAAATAATCTCTGGAGAGGGGGAACAAGAGGGACAAAGGACAAACACAAATTTCAAAACACAGCATTTGTGTTTGTCTTTTGTCCCTCTTGTTCCCCTTCTCCAGGGATTATTTTCGTCATTCTTGTCCAGCTCACTTGCGCCTTTGCATTTAATTACATTCTAATCATAACCATAAACTGCAAGCCTTTCACCCTTGTTGGGGTTCGACTGGTGACAGCTGATAAAACATGTTTGCTCTACTCACGTCTAACCCCCGGTTAGCTCAGTTGGTAGAGCGCTCCACTGGAAATGGAGAGGTCCCGGGCTCGATATCCGAACCAGGCGGATTTTTTCGGTTGCGCATCAGTCCCCTAGTTGTGTCTAGATTTGTGTTTGTCCTTTGTCCCCCTTCTCCAGGGATTATTTTTGTCGTAAGACGCTATAGGAAGAAAATACTGTATCTTTATCCCTAATGCTATTCGTAAACATGGCAGGTTGATTGATCGGTCCGTCTGATCACTGATGACAATGCGGAAGAAATAATTACTGAAAATTTAAAGTACAGTTTAATTAACATTTTTTTGATAATGTAAGCCCTGGCATATTAGCACACATAAAAAGCTTGACTATTTTAGTTAGCTAAAGATTTGCATTTGCTTTTTTATTTTACATTCTGATTTGCTCGCAATAAAACATTACTTTATTTTGGTTTTTGTTCCCTTTTTTTAGAGTTATGATTTGCTTGAAATAGGACGTTACGTAACGGACAAACAAAGTCCAATATAAAAAGAGAGCTCAGTGTTATTTTGTTTTTACTCTTATTCAGCCTGATAGAACTATTTCTTGCTTGATGATTCTTGGTCTTCGGTACAAAACAGGTGCATATAGGAAACATGAAACCATAGACAAATGGTAAATAAAACAATTTCGGAATTACTTTTGATGGAAAGGTTTGATTTAAATCATCATCGTAAAATTGGTTTGATTTAAATCATGATTTAAATCATCTAAACTTTTATTCTCCACCCTGCTTCTGGGATAACATCATTTAACTACATTAAACTAAACTGGACTAAACAGCTAGTGGTGCTGATTGCCAGAAGTAGGAGTAGAGAATGGCGTAAGATGGCTGGCTGCCGTCTAGCCAGCATAGACTCGGAAAATACAAAAGTATGCTAGTATGGTAGAATTCGGTGTAGTAGGTGCTATGGGCTAGATTATTAAAAGCCACGACTCTATAGCATTGACAATACAGTTCGTTTTAGAATTCGTTTTTAATGAATGAACACCTATTAATTTTTATATAAAACATTTGCAAGCAATTTGTGCTCATAGTCATAACGATTTCCTTTAACACGGATTAAAACGTTACTTTCAATATGTCCATAACTAAAGTCAGCCCCTTGGAATGGACCGTGTTCCAGTGTTACCATGTAACACCATGAACTTAGTCCACGTCCTTCGTAATCATGAAGACATGCTAACACGAATATCGTTGGCAGAAAAATGTACGTTCAAAGGCAAGAATGCAAAAACTTGATAAAAGTGGCTATGCCAAAAATATACTACAAACTCATCTGACGTCGTAGCAATGCTGTTGGAAACGTAATTATTTGCTTATCATGCAAAAGCTGTCTCCCTCACAGCGGGAGCTATGACAGGATCAGACTTGTACGTAGCTAGTTACAAGTAACTGATTACTTGTAATTACATTTTTAGTGTAACCTTTTAACTCTTCAATCACTTTTTGCTTCCGGTAACGTTCGTTGTAACTCAATTACAATATTTTTGTACAAGTAATTAATTATATGTTTACGAAAGAGCTAGAAGTGTTGAGATGAGTTTTATATTAAAAGATCGCTGTTTGCTAGTGCGTCACTCGTCTATGTTACACCAACGTTTGACATATTTTTTTACCCTTAAACAACTAAATAAAGACACCAAGTTGCCAGAAGGATTAGAATGTCCACGCGCTCAGCGACGTTTCGACTGTCGAGCTGTTGAGCGTGCCTCGATTTCTGTGTACGGGTTGTTACGGTCCGGGTTTGTCGCGGCGTAGACGACTGTGTCCTGCATTGACGTCATCTAGCAACTACGAAGCCACCCCACCCCCCTCCCAATTTCATCTCGAAAAAGAGACAAAAAGAAACAGAATATAACCTTTGGGAACACATGCATTCATCTTTTATTTCGTAATAAAAAGTTAAAAAAGTAGCGTGAAAAGTAATACATTACTTTCTTGTAATTTTTCAATTACTTTTGTGATGCAGTAATTGATTTCTGTAATCAGCTACATTTTTAATACAGTAATTGTAATTGTAATTGTTTACTTTTTTCAGTAACACATACAAGACTGGATAAGACGCGTACGTGTTCTCCAGTCTTGCACGTCAGAATAAATAATAATGAACACGTAAAAAAAAGCAGGAGTGTGTCCCTTGAATACCATGTAAACCTTAGTTAACACTGTGAATAGTCACATTATAATAGAATATAACACAAAAGAACACAATACCTAGCGTTGAATGTCTTAAAAGGCGATAGTAATAACCTGGAGTTCATTAGCTACATTCCATCCTACTTTACAAAGTAATCCGAGTAATAAGTCATTCTCTCTTCAGAAAGTTGTCAAACGATGTTTCGTCTTTGTATTTTTTATAGGGTGATTCTGGCGGACCTGCAGTACAGTACGTCAGTGGCAGGGCGATTCTTGCTGGGATCGTTTCGTGGGGCGAAGGCTGCGCTCGCGCCGGAAAACCCGGAGTCTACACGGAAGTCTCGTATTTTCTCGACTGGATCGAGAACCGAACCTCGTCCACTCCAGTTGTTCCGGAATACTTCAGCAGCACAACCGAATCTCCTCCCGTGACCCCGGCCGCAGAACCTCGAACAGTGTATCAAGTCCCGGTCACCGAGACTTGATACTGTTTTCGACAGGCCGTAGAATGTAGAGATTGGAAAGCGAAAATGCCACAGAGGTCCACAAACCAGTAGTAGACTAGAGTTTGCTTTGACCACTACTTATTGTTAACGCGAGACGAAACAGGTAACGCCACGTTAAACGATATTGCGTATACTTCTGTTTCTAATTTTTTCGGCAGGGATATATTGTTATAGTTAAACAGTGGTAAGTAGAAGCACCGTGTGCAATAAACCAGTTTGTACTACAAGGCATGGTAATATGAGTAAAACATAGCTTTCAATACGAATGATTGATCTGGAATTAAAGCATGGAGAATCACGTAAGGTAGCGAACATGTAGGACAGTTTTTAATATAGTATTGTCTATAAAGTCCGGATCGTATCATTGTAAATTATTCGGCTTTATGCATTGAGTTATCTTTCTTTCTGCTGATTTTTAACGCGATGAGTTCTTTGAGTATTCCTGATTTGTGGTGGTTTTTGCGATGATCAAGTGAACGGTATGGCTAAAGTCGGTGGTGTTCAGACCCTAATGATTGTGAAGGTCTACAATAAAACAGTCTCTACGTTTGTACTTTGAATTGTCAAATCGTTCACCCCCTTTTTCCGTTTTGTGGGCCAACTTCATCAAAAACTAAAAAAAGAGCATTCTGATGTATATACCCTGAAGCATATTTAGAGTTCACATTAACTGAAGAGCGTGTTGGTAACATTGACACGAAATGTTCGTCGTCCCTCCGTGCCGAGTTTGCTTTATTCTTTATTTTGCCAGTCATATTTAAGTTGCGTGTAGATTTTGTAATATTGATTCTGAAACTAACCTCGCTCGCTTCTAATCCTCTTGCTGTCACTTTTAAACCTCAGGAGGGTTTTCCATGTGCCAACTTTTCATTCATTTTTGCTTTCAAAACTGCCAACACTTCAGGATCTAAAACTTGCTTCGTCGAAGTTACGGTAGTTTACCACAGATATGATAATCGTAATTCAATGACATTGTTATATGCATCGTTTAGCTAATTTCCCAAAAACAATTAGGGTGTGTGTATGTTTATACAGCCTCAAACTTAGTCTTCCTCAACGGACGACGAGTCTGCCAGCGGTAGATGGGAAATTTAGCCAGTGCAGTACAAAGAGCTAGCCTGGGGTCTTTAACGTGCATCACGCAGTGGTGATACACGACCACACGCAGGAACTATGCTTATCCAGATGGAAACGGGCAGGGGTGAGGATTGAACGCTAATTTCCCAAGAAACGCTGACGTTCACACTTTTTCAGGGGTAACCCTTATATGAAGTCACGTGCATAGATTATGTCACATAAAAAGGACACTGAACCCTAACCAAATATTTTAAGTCCTTATTAAGCAATACACGTACAATACAAAAAAACTCTTTCTTTAAAAAGAAATGCTCCAAATTTAGGCGAAGATAACTACTTTTTGAAGCAGACGCAACGGCGCCGCAACATATGAAAGACAGCTAGATATTGGACAAAGACAAATTTGGCGTAAGATGTTTAGACAGCGCGAATTTAGTCTGCCACAGTTTTTGGCGATACTCTTACGCGCAAAGAACTTTTTTCACTGCAGTACGACTGCTCGCCTATGGTATTTAACATGCATCACTCTGTAGTGATTCAAGACCACCCGCCTTTACGATGCTTATCCCGATCAAAAAAGGCAGGGGCTGAGATTGAACCCAGAATCACTGGCTTCTGCAATATGAGCTATCGCTCCACAAACTCCGGGGAGGGGGGGGGGGGGGGGGATGTTGCAGAGGTGAGGGAGATGTTTTTGCACGAAAAGTATAAAAACAGATGACAGTTGAGTTAGGATGATTGTGACAAATGTATAGAACACGAGCACACATACACACGAGCACACACACACACACATTCACGCGCACGCACGCACGCACACACATGCACACACACACACACATAGATGCGCCTGTTTGATACCACTGGGGCAGGGTCCTCCGCTCCCAGCAGAACGCATAATGGCGAAGGACTGTTACAGTTTGTTGAATAGGTCGGTAGAGGTCAGGAAGTGTAGAAGTAGTCGCTAGAGTTTACGGTATTGGCGTACACTTTCAGACGGACATATAATATTTGCTATTTCCGGCGCTGGAGCGCCAAATATTGAGACCTTTTTTGAAAAAATGACCTCGCAGTCTTCACAATGAAGAAGCAGATGTTGAATTGTTTCTTCTTCATTGCACGTTATACACAATGCGCAGTCCATCACACCAATTTCATGTAGAAAATGTTTAGTAAAGACACTATTGGTGCGTAAACGTATTAGAAAGGTGTTGTTTGCACGAGGAAATCCCTTGGTGATGCAGTGCTGGTATGCCGTTCGGCTTGAAAGAGCGAGATCTTCTATGGGTGCCTTGACCAGGCAAAGCGAGTCTTTAACATTTACTGGACATTGTATCGAGGGAACTTGATTATGAGCCTCTCCCGCTAGTTGGTCAGCTTTGGTGTTCCCGGAGCTGCAACTTGTGAAAGTACCCACTAAAACTATACTGTGAGGCTTTTTCCTGCGAGGGTCTTCAGTCAGTTTAGAAATTTTCTAACTTGTTCCTCACTATATCCTGGTGTCGCAAGCTTCTTGAGGGATGTGCGGGAATCGGTTACAACTGTGACAAGTTAGTGGCGCCCCCCTCCAGTCCGCCCGTCTGCGGCCGCCTGGCTCGGCGGGCAACATTGTTCACCTCACCAATAAACACCGTTGAGCACACGCTGCTCCGGTCAGTCATCGTCCACCCTCACAACCAGGCTGCGTGTCGTCTCTCCTCGGCGGGTGCTTCGGCCCCCTTCGTCCACGTTCTAGAAAGATCGTGACACTGGCGACGAGGAACCGTGGCACTGGAGCCCACCAACGTGCACGGTTCGGCCCACGCCGCCGAGAGAGTCGCAACACCGCCGCCGCTCCTGTCGCCATGCCGCTGTACGGGAGGCTCGAGCCGTTCGACGGAGATGGGTCCGCCTGGCCGGTCTACGAAGAACAGGTCCACGTGTTCTTCCGGGCGAACGACACGCCCGAGGCGAAACAACGGGACATCTTCCTGGCCAGCTGCGGGACCCGTGTCTTCAGCCTCCTGCTCGACCTCCTCAAGCCGGCCACGCCGCACGTCAAAACGCTGGGTGAGCTGCTCGCCACGCTGCGCTCGCACTTCAGCCCGGCGCCGTCTACGCTTATGGAGATGTTCCGCTTCAACAACCGGAGCCGCCAGGACGGGGAGACCCTCGGGCAGTTCGTCGCTGCGCTACGAGGGTTAGCGAGCACCTGCGCCTTCGGCGACCAGTTGGACTCGCTACTCCGGGACCGGTTCGTCTGCGGCATCAACAACCCTGCCATGCAGACGCGACTCCTGGAGCTCCCCGACCCCTCGCTGGACGACGCAGTGAAGGCAGCGCTGGCAATGGAAGCAGCAACGAAGGACGCCAGCGAGATAGCGCGTGCGGCCGGCTCACCGTCGACGGAAGCGGCGGTGCACAAGATGGCGACAAGGAGCGGTGCCTGCAGCCGCTGCGGTGCTGCCCACTCCCCCTCACTGTGCCAGTTCGTCCAAGCACGATGCTTTACGTGCGGGAGAACTGGGCACCTCGCACGTGTCTGCCGAGGGGGGAGGACGAGCGGCGGCCAGCAGCAGCAGCAGCAGCAGCCTGGTTCAAGCCCGGGTTCCAGCCAAGCCCGCGGCCAGGGTGGTCGTCGCAAGAGAACGCGGCGGGGACGAGCGGCACCAGGTCCGGGTACCTCCTCAGCCAGGGTCCACGTCGTGGCCGAGGACCTGCAGATCTTCGACGTGTGACACACCAGGAGAATTTCATCGTCTGTGCCACCATATATGGTGTCTGTCGAAATCTGCGGCCACCCCATCACCATGGAGCTGGACACAGGGGCCAGCGTGTCGGTCATGCCCGGGAAGCTGTTCAAGCGGACCTTCCCCGGCGTGTCCATCGAGGCGTCAGACGTCATGCTGCGCAGCTACTCCGGGCAGCTTTCCCAGGTCCAGGGTCGGGCCCAAGTCAGCGTTCGCCTTGGCGACAGGGAGGCAATCCTTCCCCTTTACTTAACCAAGGGGTCGTCGCCGACGCTGCTGGGCCGGAACTGGATTCACTCGCTGGGTGTTCGGCTGCCGGAGTACCAAGAAGCTGCGCTGCACGTGGTGAAGGACGTCCCGAGCCTCCTGACCGACTTCCAGTCCCTGTTCCAGCCAGGGGTGGGCACCTTCGCCGGCACGACGGTCGGCATCCACGTACCCGAGGGAGCCCGGCCTCGGTTTTTCAAGCCGCGTCCGCTGCCGTTCGCCCTGAAGGACGGGGTCACCCAGGAGCTGCAACGGCTGCAGCGAGAGGGAATCCTGGTGCCCGTCAAGTCTTCCGAGTGGGCTGCACCGATAGTTCCAGTCCTCAAGCGAGACGGCCGCGTCAGGATCTGCGGGGACTTCAAGGTCACCATAAACCCCGTCGCTACCGTTGAGAAGTACCCGCTTCCTCGTGTAGAAGATCTCTGGTCGGCTCTGTCCGGGGGACAGAAGTTCTCCAAGCTCGACCTTCGAGATGCCTACCAGCAGCTGGTGCTCCAGGATGCCGCCCGGAAGTATGTCACCATTTCGACTACCATGGGACTCTTCCAGTACACGCGCCTACCGTTCGGCGTGGCCTCAGCCCCAGCCATCTTCCAGAGAGAGATGGATAACCTCTTCAGGGGCATGAGGCACGTGGCGGTGTACTTGGACGACATCCTGGTTACCGGTACCGACGACGGGGACCACCTGCAGAACCTGCGCAAAGTCCTGACTCTACTACAGGACGCCGGTCTCAAGCTGAGGCTGGACAAGTGCGTGTTCCTGACCCCCAGCGTGGAGTACCTGGGACACATCATCTCCCAGGCTGGCCTGGCCCCGGCACCTCGCAAGATTGAGGCCGTGCTCAAGGCGCCGAAGCCCAAGAGCAAGAAGGAGCTTCAGAGCTACCTCGGCCTCATCAACTTCTACAGGAGGTTCCTGCCCAACCTTTCGACGCATCTAGAGCCGCTGCATTGCCTGCTTCGTGATGGGCAGCAGTGGGCCTGGAAGAAGGAGCAGGACTTGGCCTTCCAGCGCAGCAAGGAGCTGGTCGTCAAGGCTCCAGTGCTGATGCACTTCGACCCGGCCAAG